CATAAGAGTACAACAGTGGAAACAGCCTTGAAGCATTGGTGCCGTCTTGACGAGAGCCACTTACATTTGGTTGACGTCTAACGGATCCTGGCCGCATCCTTTCCAGAGGCACTTGACGAGCTTGTTCAGCGCTGCCATGGCGCCAATAGGACCCGATTTGCCTGGTGGTAAATCCGGGCGCAGCAGTGGCAGCTCCTTCCTGGCGATGGCAGCCTGGTCAAGCTTGACGTAGTCACCTACGTACTTCACCAGGTCGTCCTCAACCTCTTGTGCNAACCCCCGCCGCAAATACGGCCTTTCTTGGGTGGTTCTTCGATGTCGTGGCACCCACAAGAGTCTACGGAGCAGAAGGTAGCAACAGGCGGCGGCGGTGGCGGTGGACAAGCCATCAGTGTGCAGCGAGTGGAGGGCACGCGACGACAGCGAACGGAGTGATTCATTTAAGAGGCGGCTAAATGTACAATCCTGGAGGATCTCGTCCGCAGCGGCTTCGGGCGTACTGTACCATCACACCTAGAATTTTGCACAAACTTCTGGAAACTCTTTGTTNCTTCGATGTCGTGGCACCCACAAGAGTCTACGGAGCAGAAGGTAGCAACAGGCGGCGGCGGTGGCGGTGGACAAGCCATCAGTGTGCAGCGAGTGGAGGGCACGCGACGACAGCGAACGGAGTGATTCATTTAAGAGGCGGCTAAATGTACAATCCTGGAGGATCTCGTCCGCAGCGGCTTCGGGCGTACTGTACCATCACACCTAGAATTTTGCACGAACTTCTGGAAACTCTTTGTTACCCACCCAAAGTGGAAAGAATCCGCAAGTGCCCTGCGCATCACTCCCTCGAAAATATCGAGTATCCACCCCTTGGTGACATCATCAGCCCCTCTACAGCAGAGGTCGTCGTAAAACCACTCCAGAGCGAGCAGCGTGCCGTTCCTCCTCCGTCTCTCCGCGTACCTGCGGCGTTGTGCGGGTGATGAGAACGAGTAAGAGCGGACTAAACGTGGCATCATTCGCTACCACACATAGATGCTTTACGATACTCAAACGCAGCTCTCGACAAAGGCATTTTGCGATAATTTCGCCGACAGTTGTTTCCGCGTATGTCCCGAGGAAACAGTTCCGCGACAATCTCGCCGACATTAAATTTGACGATAGTGTACCTCTTCAGAAGGAGGTATATTTCCTCCTTCCTTTCGCTTTGCACAGCCCCGTACGCGGGAACCTTGGCGTCCTCCCCCAACAGAAAAAATAGGCAGTCCGGAGAATCAATGACCCTCAAACCGATGCGCCACGTGCCATCCATGCACAGGAACTGCCCCCCATACTGCGAGTGGATTTCGCGTTGCATGTGCTCCTTGTCCTGTGGATGACGACAGAACACAACATTGTGATCGGTGTGGCGGCAGAGGAGAATCTGAACACGACGGAACAAAACCCGAGCAGACACGAGAAAACGCACGAGTACCAGAAAAGTATCCACGCTTCCTCCTCTTACATCGTCGTGCCCAGCNACGCTTCCTCCTCTTACATTGTCGTGCCCAGCCTTGAAAATCGTGTTCAACACGGCGATGGACGGAGTGGAGATGAGGGTCCCGCGGCTGAACTTCCAGCCTGGCCACAGGGCGTGCTCCGCACTCCGATGCTTCGCCGCAAACCGGATGTACCTATGCATTTCTCGAAGCTCTCGGCCTTGCTCGCCTGCGACCAGGATCCTGCGATACGTCTTCATGTTCAGTAGAGCAAGCAACAGCAAACACGTGGGGCGGATGACCAACGAGTTTTCAGTGGAGCCACTCTTATCACAGCGAAAATCAAGGAGGACAAGCAGAGTGCAACCCAGCTCCCCAANTTCAGGTTAGGGTTCAGTAGAGTCTCTGACGTGCCATTTTGCCTAAAGTAGCGAAAGGGCAATCGCGCTCCTCAGGTAGCACCTGAATGTACCTGCAAAGTTTCAGTGGTCGAGTGACCCAGGGAGAACATGTCAGAATAGGCGATCCTTGTGCGTGTAATTTTCGCACTGCAATGCAATGCTAAGATTGAAGCTAAATACTATACGCTTAATAAAATCATCACCGTACCTGTCGTCCATTGTGGTAAAGGAGCGCCGTTTGGGCAATGCTCGCGGATGGTGGCCTCGTCCCACCCGTCATGCGTAATGACCACTTTTTTTTTGTTGGCCGCCTTCTTGGCACATTCCAAGACGAGAGGGCACCCCGAGGCCGTGCAGGAATACCTGCCCGCCAACGGAACCACCACCCTGCCAACGTCG